AATTTAGCCTTGGTTGAAGTAATTATAGCTGGGATTCCCAGAATAACTGTTATTCTGTGTCTTATCTAACATAATGGCTGATCGCTCGTATCTGAGTATGCCTGTCTGCTAGCCAATCCTTGTTGCAAACGCGTGCTCAGTGATTTATACGGTAACCATGTTGAGCGGACCTTCGTTATAGTTCCTGAGAGAGAGAGAGAGAGAGCATCATCTAGCGTGATCAACCGTTTGAAAAAGGCTACTACGCTCAGACGAGGCCAGCACAATCTTGTGTTAATAAAACCACCTACGTACAAATCCGTTTATCCGGTATCTCTGAGTATTTTTTCTACGCCACTAAGACGCAAGGTATTACTGAGTCTGAAAAACTATGAGAAAAATAAAACATTATTAATGTGAGAGAAAAGGAATTAAGAATTCCGAAGATATTCTATATTCTTAAGAATACAGAAATATCTTCGGTATTCTTAACTGGAATTACATTGGCATCTTTGAATTTGACTGAAAAATAAGAAGCAGGAAGTGAGTTCCACAAAGGGAGAATTACGAGAGAAGAAACTGTTAGCAGAGAACTGAAGGATACATCTAGCCATTTCAACTGTAAAATGATAAGATCTTGTCCTCAATCTGATACTGAGCTTAAATACGTAAAATCTAGGCACCAAAGAGGAAAGCTCACCAGAACAATTAGCATTAGGACATTTATAGAAATGTATGGTATTAAGGCAACGGTGTAATACATTGGGATAGCCTCCGCAAATCAAGGTACATTCTGAGATTGGTGATATTCGCCTCTAATAGTCGGAAATCTAATATTTTAAACAGTGGGCCACGCGTCCATATGATCTGGTATAGATTGTCTACATCACGATATAGCAAATGTAGTTGAGGTTCTCGCGACCATTTGTGGACTCTGATACATACAGATGTTCGGCAATTCCCTCGATATATATATATATATATATATATATATATATATATATATTGTTAAATATAACATACAATGGATGTCTATTATGTTCTAAAATCCGTATATTTGCTTTAATTTCGAAAGACAAAAATTGTCCAACATTCGGATATATTTTTATTAAGCTGTTTTTTGATCTACTACATTTTTTTTTTGTAGAGGATTTAGTTTTGTGGTTGTAGGGTTATTAGAGACTATAAGGTCAATTTTTTTCAATTTTTTATAATATATGATGAGCTTAACTTGTTTATTGTTATTAATAGGTTTAATATTTCTACCTATTATGTGTTGTTTCATCATGTTTGTAATTATTATATATTTGGTTACAATAGTATAAGTTAATAGTATTATGCTTACATTGACTTATGGTTACAATTATTATTATTATCTATTTTGTTAGTGGTATTATTAAGTTTATTGTCATACATTTGAATTTGTTGATCAATGACGGAATTAGGAAATCCATTATTAACAAGTGGTTGTTTAATGTTATGTAATTATTTATAGAATATGGTTTTGGAAGAAGGTATCATTTGGTACGTTGGATTAAGTTTTTTTTTTATAACGGCCAACTTATATCGTTGGAGGCATTCATTATTATAATTAAAAATACACGAGTTACTGCTAAAACGAAAATGTTATCTATCAGGTCATCCCATAAGTTCTGTCCGAATTTTAACTTTTTGTTAAAATGAACGAAATTTAAACAGTATTATATAATGTCTAATGGAGCTGAACATTATTTTTATGTTTAGATGCATTTAAACTGATCAAATCTTATTTCAGAGGACAATAAAATTAAATTTTGTTTGATTACAATCCTGCTAACATGGAAGTATCCAAGAATCATTTGAGGCACATAATGCTTTATGAGTTCTAGAAAGGAAACTCAGTAGCCAAAGAGGCTAGAAACATTCACTCAGTTTATGGAGAGGAATGTGTGAATGAAAGAACTTGCAGAAGATGGTTTGCAAAATTCGGAGGTGGAGATTTCACCCTTGAAGATGAAGATCGAACCGGACGTCCAGTTGAGTTTGATGAAAAGCTTCTTGAAGCAGCCCTTGAAGAAAATCCTGCTTTATCAGTTAAAAAAGGAATTGGCAGTAGTTCTCAGTTCAAACCATACAACTGTTCATCGTCATCTTCAACAACTTGGAAAAGTTCCTAAACTTAGAAAATGGGTGCCTCATGAATTGTCTGAAAACAACCTCAAATTCCGAGTTGACATCTGCTCTTCTCTCCATTCTCGCCAACTTGTTTCAACTTTTTTGGATAGACTTGTGACTGGCGACGAAAAATGGATCTTTTATCGAAATGTTAAGCGTCGTAGACAGTGGCTTGGTAAAGGGAAAGGACCCCAGCCACAGCCGAGAAGGGAACTTCATGGGCAAAAGGTTCTTCTTTCAATCTGGTGGGATCACCAAGGAATAATCCACTTTGAATTCTTACCACCTAATGCAAGAATTAATGCTCAAATATACTGTCAGAAATTAGAGCGTTTGAACCAAGCTTTGAGGAAAAAAAAAAACCTGCTCTAGTGAATCGAAAAGAGGTGATGTTTCATCAGGACAATGCGCGACCCCACACAGCAAGAATCATGTCACAAAAGATCGAAGAACTTGGTTGGGAGAAAATTCCTCATTCACCTTATTTACCCGATCTTGCTCCTTCAGATTACCATTTGTTTCGTAGCTTACAGAATCATTTGGAAGAAACAGCTTTTGTAACACAGGAAGAGGTTAAAACTGACATTTGTGAGTTGTTCGAATCAAAGCCAAAATAATTTTACAGCAATGGAATTAGTAAGCTTGTTCATAGATGGAAGGTAGTCATAGATAATCAGGGAAAATACATTGTTGATTGAATCTGTAATTAAATGTAACATTTGGTCACTTGTTTTCTTTATTCAAAATTAGGACAGTACTTATGGGATGACCTGATATGTATCTTACATATATAGGGGGTTTATTATTTTATTTTCTAAATGTGCCATATAATAATTAGAAATAAGGGGGCTTAAAGGATATCCCATCGCCATACCATCTATCTGAGCATAAATATTACCTGGGGGGGGGTCATGAAAAGCTACTTAAGTGGTACATGCTAATAATAATCTTTTTACAATAGTGGGTTTAATATTGATGGGTGGGACTTTATACAGCACGGATAATGATGTCAATCGTTTCATGGACAGGACATTAATAAATAAATTTTGTAAATCCAATGATGCGATTATTTGGTTGTTTGATTTTACAACATGAAGAATTTGTATAAATTCATTTGTGGAGTTAATACAACATTTACTTGGGAAGTAGGAAGTAATTAATTTGTTAAGGGTTTTTGAAAGGTACACCTACTATACCTACTGGTGTAGGTATTTTAGGTCGGAGAAGATAATTTTTTTTATAGATTTTTACATTTCCATAAAGGTAGCCACGTTGATAGTCTCTCACGTGGTACGACGTCATAGAACCACATTATGAATTTACGACCTGCGTCTGCTATTCCGCGGCTGTTATCGTCGCATTGCAATCTTTTATGTCAACATAACTGAATATCATCTTTGATGGTGAATATATTTGTTTAAATGTCCGCATAACCACTCTGAAGATGGTTCATGTCACCCGAAAGCCTAGATCAAAAAACAGCTTAATAAAAAATATCCAAATATTGGATAGTAAGGAAGCTGGTGAATTTTAACAAGGGCAAAAAATAGGATGGCATCTGTGCGGAAAGTCAAATAGAGAAATTGCTAGGTTTTTCAAGGTTCATCATAAAACAGTTAATAATATTGTCAAGAAATTTAATGAAGAACGCTATTGTTGTGTGGAACAATGTTCAGGAAGACCAAACATCGTGTCTGAGTGAACAAAAAGGGCGCCGAAGAGGGAATAATCAGAAACCGTCATCAAAGATGTCATAAACAGCATAGAAATTTCGCCACATGCAGCGAGAAAGACTCTGAAAGAGATAGGTTATCAAAGAAGAGTTGAAAGAAGGAAGCCCTTGATTTTAGAGATTAACAGGAACAGACGTATGGACTGGGCGAGAGAATTCGAGAGCAAATATGAAATTTGGCAGTCTGTAATTTTGTCAGATTTATGTTTGGAGAAATCAGGATGAGACTTGGAACACTGAATGTCTGGAGGCGACCGTGAAACATGGAGTGATTGAAGTAATGGTGTGTGGCGCTGTCTGCCTTGGAGGGAATTCTGAAATGATTCTTGTTGACGAGCGGTCCAAAATACTGTCAAATATTAAAGATAGGACTGTTCCCACTATTTGAAACCAGTCAGATGGAGCGCCAGGTCATATGAGCAAAGTAGCGAAGGCCTGGAAGGAATCGCAAGGAATCAAGTCATTGCCATGAGAAACCCAAAGTCCTGACATGAATCCAATAGAGCACGGTTGGGAGCACCTTGATCGAAAACTTCGAGAACGTGCAATTAAAATCACGTCTGTGGCAACCCTTAAAGAAACATTGCTAAAGGAGTAGCAAAATATAGCTCAGACGATTGTTGATAACTTGATCAAATCCATGAAAAATCGAACACAAGTACTGAAAATAGCTAATGGAAGACCTCCTCCATACTGGTTCCGAATACTGTTTATTTGAGCTGAGATTACGTAATTAAATTTTGTAATTGGATGTAGTTTATTTCTCCTGGCTAAAAAAAAATATATATTTACATACGCTCTATCTCTGATATTGAGCACTTTATCCCATAAATATAGCACACCTTAAAACTATATTCCTTCATATATATATATATATATATATATATATATATATATATGCGTGCGTGCGTGTGCGCGTGCGTGCATGTGTGTCTACACATAAGTAAATATATATAGATGTATAGCTGTGAACTCATATGTTATTACAAAGGAAATAACAACTTACTAACCAAAATAAAACTTACGTATCGTATTTCATTATGAATTTTCTAAACATCTTTCAGTAATAAGTGAGTGAATTTTTCTCAATTCTCAAGGGTTTAACGAAGCCTGAGTGTTTCACTCTTTTCGTCAATTAAGGATTCAACGAGATTGTGTTGCGCCTTAATTTTTTTGGTAGTTCAGAAAGAAGGGAGAGAAAAAGAGGTTGAAAAAATAACAGAAAGAAATGGACGTGTTTTGAATATAAACGAAAGGAGTAAGTAGAAAGAATGAGAAGTTTGAGAAAATTCAGAAAAAAAAGGTTAATGGCAAAAAAGATTAGAGGAAGAAGAAGAAGAAGAAGAGGAACATTTTGGAAAAGTAGTAAAAACAAAGAATAAAGCGGAGACAAATAAAGAAAAAATAACATTCTCAGATCAAAAGAATTGAAGCAACGAAGGAGACAGTAAGATATGATGAAAAAAAAAAGAAACTGAGTGAGTGAGAGAGAGAGAGAGAGAGAGTGAGAGAGAGAGAGGCTGAAGAAAAAGAGAGAGCGACAGAAAGCAAGAGAGAGGGAGAAGCATGAGATGAATAAAAAAATTAAGTTATAAACAAAAAGATTAAGTGCAAGAAGATATAAAAGAACAATTGATTCGACTCTTATAGAAGCAAAATATTTTCATTTTCTTCTATTCATTTTTTCCTTCCTCTTCTCTTAGTAATTTTTTCTTTTCTCTTTTTTTTACTTGACCTTTTTTAATTTTTTGTTTCGAGGGGTGTTATTATTATTATTTTTTTTTGGCATTAAAAGGAGAGTTGTAGAGCAATTTCGAAAGTGATACATCACGAATGTTTATTCGTGCCGGCATTAATTGCAAACATATGAAATGCGTCAAATAAACCTGCGACAACATCTGTATATACATAAGGCTAAGGATTTCATTTTTTTTTCCTCCGCCTGTCTTCCAATTTTTTCTGGATGGCAAGTATGGTCCTCTCTTTTTATTTGCTCTAAAATCGTATTTTCCTTGGGCGTAGAGGTGCATACATGCCCCTTTGCCACTCGATGTTTCAGCAACGTAAGAAAGTATACACTTGTCTATTTTAACCAATCTATCTATCTATCTATCTATCTATCTATCTATCTATCTATCTATCTGTCTATCTGTCTATCTATCTATCTATCTATCTATGTGTTTGCGTGCTTGCATATGTTTGTGTGTGTGTGTGTACATGTGTATTGGTGCATGTGCGTGTGTGTGTGTGTGTGTATATGTGTATTGGTGCATGTGCGTGCGTGTGTGTGTGTGGATCGTGAGATATGTTTATATGACGAAAATAAAGTTTTATATACTTGCGTATGATTGGATTGAATTTATGTATTTTTACATATGTGTGAGTATCAAAGTATTTATATAGATGACTAGATAAGTATAGTGACACTGAGCTGAAATTTAATATGAAAGTTTTACTGGATAAATTTGGATCTATGTACTTAACATTTACTACTGTATTAAGTGCATTGACGTGGAAGGAGATTACGTTGTAAAATAAAATATTGTTGGATAAAATAAACGACTTTTCATCAATATACTGCATATTTCCTTACACACAATTTTGCCTTTCTAAGTCGGAAAGAAAGGCAAAATTGAAAAGAGCCGAACCCAACATATATGTCGGCGAAAGGCGCCGTATGAAAGCTTCTTCCACTTTGTCTCATCATCTCCACTTTGTTTCGAATACATCCAACAGACAAAAAACATACATACACATAAACACACACGCGCGCGCACACACACGCTCACAGTAGACAGCAATTGTTCCTTCAAACATATCTTATTTTAGAGTTGGGGAATTTTGTTTATTGAGTTTGTCCTTCTTCCTTCCAAATTGCGCATGATATACGAAATTTTTCAAACTTTTATAATGGCTGTGTCCAAACTTTTGATTATCGTGAGATAGGATTGTGTAATTAGTTTATGATGTAAAAAAAAAACAGTAATAGCCGTAAGTAGCGCTTTCTGCATAATACTAATTACTCTAGCACACTGAAAGCTTGGACGTGTTTACTTATTATGTATGATGTTCATTAATTTATTTACGGATATATTTTTAAAAAATTTAGTAACCGTTTGAATTTTCAAATTAACCTCAGTGTTTGTCATTGTAACGTATTTTCTTTTGATTTTTATTATATATATATATATATATATATATATATATATATATATATATATATATATATATATATAGAGAGAGAGAGAGAGAGAGAGAGTCCCTCCGAATGCATTGGAACGCCAAGGCCAATTCTTTATTGTTCACGAAAAATGTTTGGATTTAAGATCAAAAGATGTACATGAGATAACAGTTCAGCTTTTTTCTTTTCGCTTTTATTTCCTGGTAAATTAATTTAGATGTGTTAAACACTTTAAGATATACCACCTTTTGTAACAGATCACCATATTTTAAGGTCAGCAAATGTAAAAGAACATATAGTCTTAAAGTAAATAACATTTAATATTTGTTTGCATAACCCTTGCTTGCAATAAATGCATCAAGCCTGCGACCCATTGACATCACTAAACTGTTGCATTCTTCATTTGTATTACTACTTCGCTAGACCTTTAACACAGCCTCTTTCACTTCTTGTTTGTTTTGTGTAGGTTCATCCTTCCGTGTCCTCGTCAGATGAAATGCATGCTCTATTAAGTTATGGTCTCGTGTTTGACTTGGCCAGTCTAAAACTGCTCACTTTTTTCTCCTAATGAAGTCCTTCTGATGTGTTTGGGGTCATTGTCCTGCTGCATGATAAACTTCCAACCCGATTAATTTGGATGCATTTCTCTGTAAATTGGCAGACAAAATCATCCCGTAGACTTCTGAATCAATTATGCTGTTACCATCATGAGTTACATAATCAACAAATATGAATTAGCCTGTTACAGAAGCAGCCATGCAAGCTCAAACTAAGACACTGCCTCCACCATGATTCACAGATGAGCTTGTATGCTTTGGATCATAAGCAGGTTCTTTCTTTCTCCATTCTTTGGCTTTTCTATCACTTTAGTAGAGATTAATCTTGGTCTCATCAGCCCATAAAACTTTCTCCCAGAACTTTTGTCGCTCATCTCTGTACTTCCAATCTGGCCTTCCGAAACTTACTATTGACGAGTGGTTTGCATCTTTCTTAGGGCCTCTGTATCTCCATATTTCTGCTCTCAGAGTCTTCTTTGAACAGTGGATAGTGAAACCTTCACCTCTGCCCTGTGAAGGTTGTTGGTGATGTCACTGACTGCTGATTTTGGGTATTTCCTCAGAGCTCTCACAATATTTCTGTCATCAACTGCTGTTGTTTTCCTATACACTAGTAGTTTCTTTCTTTTTCAGGGCATTCCAAATTGTTGTTTTGGCTATGGCCAAAGTTTGTTCAATTGCTCTGATCGATTTTCCTTTTCTCACCTTCAAAATGGCTTGCTTCTCTCCCATAGATAGCTCTCTAGTCTCCATATTGGTTTATTCTTTTTGACAAGAAATGTAGTTATACAGGTGAAACCCAAGGCTAAAACCAAGAGTAGTCATTAAGAGTTGTTCAATGTTATAAGAATCAATCTAAAATGCAGCACTTGGGCAATAAGAAAGACATGTCAGTCACGTATTCCAATAGTTTTACTCCCTTAAAGAATGGCTTGGTCCAAACAAAAGGTGGCATGTTTAACACATCTGAAGGTAAAAATCATGTTAATAAAAGCTAAAATTCTAAACTGTTTTCTCATCTTTTCATTTTTTAACCCATATGTCTTCAGTGAACAATAAAAAACAAAGGAATTGGGCGTGGCGTTTGGAAGGGACTATGTGTGCGTGTGTGTGTGTGTGTGTGTGTGTGTGTGTGTGTGTGTGTGTGCGCGCGCGCGTGTGTGCGCGTGTGTGCGTGTGTGTGTGTGTGTGGTGGACTTTCTCGTCGCGGACGACAAATGAGGGTTCAGCAAAATAAAGAGTTTCTCAACAATGTGTCTCCCAAGGCCATATATATCAGTTAAACTATCTACCGATCTATCTATTCTGAATGCACCTAATATGAATAATTTTCGAGTGATATATAAGATAGACATTCAGTGTGTTATGTATTTGTCCGAGGCTTGCTGAAAGATAAAGCTGTTAGTTTTCATCATATTTTGGAAAGTAGGTCGAACTAATTCTTATATAGTAGTGTGTACCACATGTCAGAAAGGTATCTGTTCTGCTTCGCTTAAACATCGAAGCTTCCGTGTTTTAAATGGTTACAACAACGTCCGTGAAAGCCGAGTGAACAAGCAATTGGATGCTACCTTTTTATTTTCAATTTCATGGCATTTGTTCTTGCGAATGAATGATATATAAAAAAAAATAATGGAATGAAAATAAAATGAGTTTAGTAATAAAATAAAAGTGATATAATTATATTTGTATATCATATTTAATTATTTCATTTTTAAGAGAATTTTGCAACAAATGTTTTCCTTAAATGTTTTTAACTTAAATAAAGTCAATTGTTATTTCTTGAGATTAGCAAATAGCTCTTCATTTTTATTACGGAATAATTCATATGTGTATGTGTTTTAATTCCAATGCATATATACAAATAAACGAATACCATCCTGAAACCCATTATTTTACGCTTCTTTAACATGTTGATGCAATACAGCAAGAGTTGCAGGAGGATGCTTACTAAACAAGTTGGATATCATACCATCTTCTCCCATGCATGAAGTATAAATACCAAGACTTTCGATCGGGATGGCCTTGGTATTTAATACAAACTTTGCAGAGCATGTTTAATAGTAAAGGCATTGCCTTCCCCAAATGTCAAAGGCGAGAGAGAGAGTTGTAGGTTATAGCACCTTATATTATGATGTCATGGGTTGGACATAGATGTCATAGGTTAATATACTTTGGAAGATGTCGCACCCCAAATGTACGTCTCATGAAAGCAGTATCTGTTCTTAGCACTGAACACCAGAGAGCACATTCACTCCTCCTGGTGAATCTCGACCAAGACAACTGAACATGTGGACACAGTTATTGTGTTGTCAACCATGTAAATTTGGTTACAGGAAACCATAGCTGCAATCTTCCTTCAGATAAACAATTCCCAACAGTTTATGTTACCAATCCTGGGTCATATTTGCGTTGATCTCTGTTATATTCACCACCTCTAAACTGGAGTTTTGTAGACGAACTTTTGTGCAATTATTCAGTTCACTCGACAGAAGATAATTGTCGGATTTTAATGAAACTTTCAGGGCTTATTCACAAATAAATTATTTTAAAATCTTTCTTTTTTAGTAAATCTTCGTAAAAATATTTTTTTCATCTGTTAAACCCCACTTATATATTTTTACGAAATTTGAAGAAATTTTTTTTCATAGCACTTAATGTTTATATACATTATAAAGACATACACTGGGAGAATTTAAATCAGGAATTTTTCATCAAACAGGTCTCGCTGTTATAAAAATCTGCTTTAAATCGTAAAGTAAAAATTCAATAAAAATATGACATTATTTAGTTAGAAAACGTTTAATTACTTTTATGCATAAAATATATTATAGGCATTATTAACTTAAGAAAAAAGTTTTCGTTGAATAAAGAATTTTCGCATGAATAGTTTTCATGTTTTCAAGTTTTAACTAGAATAATTTATTTATAAATTTTAAAATCTATTAAAATTATGTATTAATTTGTAGCGGTCAAGAAATATTGTTATTAAATTGTTTATGGAAATCATCAATACAATTCAACGACCCCCACCATTTAAATCAATACGTTTATAAACGTAAAAATTATATTTCTAAACATCTACAACAA